TACTAATGTATTAAAATTGCTTTATCTTATTATCTTATTTTACCTTGTTTAATCTCTTTTTAGGTTCTTTACAATGCCCCGGCAAGGCCAAATACCACCCACTAATATGTAAAAAAAAATGCCTAGTGATGCCGCAAATCTGTACACCACAATGCCCCCCCAGCGGTTTACCCCTCGTGCAAGACCGAGAAGTCTCGCTCGTGAATGATCTCGTAGCGAATCACGGCAGAACTGAGAGACGCGAGCTGAGTAAGTCGCCACAACTGGGCCTTAGACACGTACCTGCATCTTGTTCATTTGCATGTTGTTGGGTCCCATCATGTTGTTCATGGCTACGTTACCCATATTGCTCATGGAGTTCATGGGTGTCATTCCGCTCATAGCACTCATACCGGTCATACCGTTCATACCGTTCATCCCTCCCATTGTCATAGGATTCATCGAGTTCATACCATTCATACTGTTCATCGAATTCATAGAATTCATAGCGTGCATCGGGCTCATCGTGCCCATGCTGTTGAAGTTGTTCATCGCGACTGGCCCCATTCCTGCCATTGGTCCTCTTTGGCCGTACCCCGCGTTGTACGTTTGCGGGGGTATTCCATGTTGGCTCTGCATCTAATAATAACGATTGACGTTGAGTCCTCGTTTAAAAGTTCATAAAATCTCTAAGTAGAAAACATGATTTACGAGAGACAGCGAGTGTTGCGCGGTACGTGAATTCTGAGCCGCGTTTCGTCACGGGACCATGAGATATTCGTTTGAGAATAGTCTTCCTCCACTCAATAATTTAATATAAAAACTATGATAGAAACCATTTTTTTTTCAGAAACCACGCTATTATGCTCATAGTAAAATGATTAGGCCGACGAGATTGTAAGCTAATGTTAAGTAACGATTAAATTAAGTTAATCAAAATTCGTAAACTATACCTCTCGCATTATATAAAATGCCGTAGATTAACCATTGTGACAAGAGCGCATTATCTAAAATAAAAGAAAATATTATCTCCTTGTTGCCTTCTGAAATGTTTTCTTATGAAAGAAAAAGAGACGACGACGGGAAACATCTACGTCAAGGACCGTATCGTTTTACCAATTCGCGTCGTCTCACTTAACTATCCCTAGTGCTCCGCTAGCGGTCTACGTAACGTATGAATCAGAGAAGTCCCGCTACCCCTCCCCCCCCCCCCTCCCCCTATGGTCGCGCGCCATTGATAACGTGGGAGCTAGCAAACAGTTACCTGATTGAATTGCGAGGGGATGTCCTGGCGGTCCTGCATGGCCACCACGCTGGCAGTGGCGGTGGCCGTAGCGGAGGCAGCTGCTACCATCGCCGCGACACGAAGTGGCGAACCACCCCTTCCGTTCTGGGGTGGCACTGTGCTATGATAGCTGGATGATAACGGCTGCACCCCGACGCCGATCGCCGCCGTTGCTGCTGATAGCGTCGCACCGCCGCCGTCGACGTTCCACCCTCTCCGGGGAGAAAGAAGGAGCCCCGTCTCCCCCTCCCTCGCTCTCTCTCTCTCTATGATCTCAGCCTTCACGCGGTAGATGCGAACGCGCGCGGCTTATTGGCGCACTGAAAACAGAAAGCGTGACTCATCTTAACCCTCCGTGAGATAAAATTATCTTTTTGGAGAATCGCGGCGCGCGGCGCGATGCCCGCGGTGATCGTTATAGAAATAACTGTGCGTTAGAGAAACTGCGGAGTTGGCGTATCGGACGGGTGGCGAGGTGTGACGCAAGCGTACGCGTACCCCGTTCGGCTCTATTCGAGTCCTTTTCAGAACGGTTAATAGCGATAAATGCGGACTTAGAGATGCGCACGAGACGAGAAAAGTCTTGTTCTCGTCTCGATATCGAGTCGACGTTATTTAAAATTCTCGGCGAGATTTGAACAATATATTTTATTGTTTTACCGATCGACGACACGTATGGCGCCGTGACTGCGTTGTCGTCAGGATTGGTTTATATGTCGCGTAACAAAGTTCGTGAGTAAAGTGGCGTAAGACGCTACGGGCCTACGGCAACGTACGTGCGCTGGTGCTGGCCCGAAGCCTCAAAAACCGAGGGGGAAAAAGACTGACCAAAATCTTGTATACCAAGGCCTACTAATGCCCAGTGGGCATTACTTTATCTTATTATCTTATTTTATCTTTATCTTAATGCCCCAGCAAGGCCTAATGCCCAGTAATGCCCAGCAATGCCGCAAATCTGTACACCACAATGCCCTCAGCGGTTTCCCCCTCGTCAAAAACATTTGCGGCTCTGCATCTTTCTTCTCCCGATTGTCCGTTCCCGGCTCGACCCGCAAGGCGCGAATGTTTAGCCAGTAGAATTATTTAATAACGTTAGAAGATGAGCAAAATAATTCATAATAACTTTTGTAGTTTTTTTAATCTAAAATATACAGCAGAGACGTTATATCTGTCGTTTAAGTCTTTTAAGAAAGGTTAACGTAGGAACACTAAGTATAAAATTTTAACAGATACATTCATTTATATTCACCTTTTATCTTTTATCGCCAATCTCGTTAAGATATCGTCGGGATCGAGATCAAGATCGAGATCATATATGCGAGATTCTCGAAAATTCGAGATCGATATCATGTGTTTCAGACTTTTCGAGATCAAGATCGGGATTGCAGAAATCTCGTCTTGTTTTGTCTCGTTGCGCACCTCTAAATGCGGTCGTGTAAATTATACAGGGTGAGTCTTTCCATATCCGACAAAATTTTTGAGAAGGTAGAACGGATCGAGATGAACGGAAAAGTCCTGTACCATTTTGCAATTTTCGTAATAGTTAACGAGTAATTAATTATTAAAAATCGTTGTTTTAGGCCGGCCTACCGCCCAATTCGAGCGCGTGGCGAGATGTGCGCATAGCAATATCGATCGCCGAGCGATCACATCTTGCCACGCGCTCGAATTGGGCGGTAGGCCGGCCTAAGACAACGATTTTTAATA